CTGTCGGCCTGAACTTCTCTGTTTAGATACACTTTTCACTGGCAATTTCAATCAGCTGAGTGATATTCATCCCAGAAAAGCCCTCAAGCTTTTGGAGCTTTCCTCTGATGTCTGGGGCAGCTTGGGCTAGGAATGAGGTGTTTACCATCTGCTGGCTCCCTGGTGACTCAGGGTCAAAAGGGGTATAGATGTGGTAAGTTTCACAGTCTTTCATAATAGTCTGCAGGAAACTCTCCTGGTTGTTGAGTGACTGAAAAAACTTTAGTCATGTTCATAGGCTTTTTGGACCCAGCTTTGATCCCTTGGAGGAGGGCGTCCTGATATTGGTGGATCTGGTGCTGTCCCTCAGGGGTGGTGAAGTCCCTCTTGGGGTGCTCCTCAGGGACAGCAATTTCAGCCTGTGCACCCCAACTGCCTCCTCTCTTCTATTATGAGCAGGGTGTAGAGAAGCTATTCGCAGTTTTTTTAGTTTGGCTGATGGATTTGGAAGAGGGATTATATAAGATCAACCAGGGCTTGTGGCTTTTCTGATGGGGTGTCAGTTGTGGAGAAGGGCTGATAGTAAAACATGGACTGGCTGGGCTGGATGGCCCCATACTTATTATGTCTTTCAGGCTCCCGCATCTCTTGCACTGGCATCTGAAGGGCGCCTGCTTCCGGCTGAGGGTGCAGTCTGGCTGCTGGTCCGGGGGAGAGTGGGTTCACTGATTCTGGAGTTGGCAGGGAGGCTGACGGTGGCCAGGTATCAGGGACCAGGGGAGCTTGGTGCTGATGGCCTTGGAGGCACATAAGGTGGGGGCAATATTAGCTCTTCCTCTGGGTCACTAGTAAAAATTTGTGGAGGCTCAGTCTGTTGATTCTTTGCAGGTCTCTTTGTTGAGGCAACTAAGACCCTACTTTGTCCCTGCTTGTTGCAAGCTAATCACACCCAAGGGGGAAGAGTCTGGGCAACTTCTAACCAGGAGTTAAAGTATGGGAACTGATTAGGATGACCTGCATCTCTAGGGATGACCCATCAGGCTCAGCAGATTGTTGGACATCTAGGGTTCCTTCTGGAGGCCACCCTACACTAAAGTGGGCAATACAGATTCACACAGGGTTTTCAATCTGCCAGGAGTTAATTTTACTCTGTAGTTTTCTGAAAATTCCTTCCTGAATTTCGTGATCATAGTGTCAACGACTGTGGGTTTACTGTGCCCTGACCCCATGACATGTCTGCGGACAGTGCTGTGACAACAGACAAGGGAGCGGGGCCTCCTCTAGAGAGGAGACCAGCCAGATGCCTGTCCATTCACGCTCCTCGTGAAGACTTTGGCCAGCCTTGGCTAAGGTGCACCTGTATAAGTCCCGGGCCAGGTCAGCCAAAGCTGAATTACTGATATGTCATGACAGCTGACCATGAATGCGGATGAGGGCCCACTCAGATTCCATAGCTCAGGCCGTGGAATCACAGATTCAGTGCAGGCTGAAAGGCTTCAGCCGCCCTGCACACTTACCTACACACACACACTCAGACCGGAGTTTAAACATTCCCCCCCCTGGGAATGTCTACCTGTGAGACTTCTAAGAAGTCTCCAGGAGGTGATCAGGCTCCCCTTCCACCCAAATGGGTGGGACTGGCTGGGTCATGTGCCCTGGGCCCTTACTGGATTCGACCTCGGAACCAGGTCCTCATCTGCCAAGCCTCTTTGAGCAGGGCTGGCCCACGGCGACAGGGGTGGGGTGGGGTGGGGTGGGGTGGGGTGGGGGGGACGGGACTGCCGAGGGGTCAGGCAGGGCGCGCCTTCTCTGTTGCAACCTCCTGTTCCATCACTGCCCTGCCATTGCCCCAAACCAGTGGCAACAAAGGGCCAATGCAGTTGGGTTTCCCAGTCAGGGAACCAAATGCTACAGAAAATACTGAAAAGAAGCCTGGACTGGATCACCAACGGAAAAACCAAGCGGCACTCGGAGGTCTTGGAGTGTTGAGGCTTTATTTCACACCAGTGGGCTCAGAGGGGAGTAATCTCCCAAAAAGTCTGAGCCCTGAACAAAGGACAGTTGGGTTTCCCAGTCAGGGAACCAAATGCTACAGAAAATACTGAAAAGAAGCCTGGACTGGATCACCAACGGAAAAACCAAGCGGCACTCGGAGGTCTTGGAGTGTTGAGGCTTTATTTCACACCAGTGGGCTCAGAGGGGAGTAATCTCCCAAAAAGTCTGAGCCCTGAACAAAGGCAAAGGGAGCAATATATATGTTTCTGCTTCCTTATCTGTAACATTCCTATGTGCACAGCAAGTGAGCAGGCAAGGGGGAGGGAGTTTAGGGAGTGAAACTTGGGAACCAGTGCCTGGCAGAGCGGGAAACCAAGGGAGTGTTTTTTTTGTGTGTGTGTTGAGGAGGGGGGTGAGACGGAGGGGAGCCACCTCATAAATTATTGTTCTTGTAGTGTTGTTTGTGTTGGTGGGGGGCAAGACAGAGTGGAGTCACCCACTAGGTTCCTGTCCTTGTAAATCTTCCTTATCAATTCCATTATGCAGTCAAAGTTTACATTTCCTTAGAGCAAATAAATTTTCTTCAGCTTCTGGGGGCAAGGTGCTGACCAGGTTATGCACTGGATTCTGAATGCCTTTTCAATTCTAAACTATATTCTGATCACCTTGAAGCCTGGCCCAGTGGCAGTACCTGTTTTTCTAGTGTGGTCTGGCTTTGTGTTGATATCCTCTACATCTTAAAAATGCCTACCCATATGTCTTGCCTGAGGGTTTCAGCCCTGGGCAAGTTCCCTATGGATTTGGTGAGACCAAGAAATGACAATGGAACATTCTTGGGGTAAAAGGGTTTATATCCTCTTTATTCTCACTGCTAGAATCACATCTGCATTCAACAGTGTGCAGGTCTGTAATCTCCTCCATCTCTGCCTCTGCCCAGAGCACTGGGTGGAGCTCTTTATATAGTGACTCAGTTAATAACAGCTCATTGCCAGTGGGTGTGGAAGCATTAGATTAGCAGTAGGCCAATTACATCATCAAGCAGGTTAGGGTCAAGTGAGGATCCTGGCCATAGGAACTTCCATTTCCCCCACACTAAAACTTCATGATATCTTAAGTTCATACAATATTCTATACTCTTACAATAAGCCTCTATTAACCTATGTTATTTTCTGTCCCATATCCCAAAGAGACCATCAACACAATAAAAAAATCTAAAGTTTTAGTCTCTTTGCATTTCCACGTTCTTTTCCTTCTTATTTCTTGTCCAGTGCTTCTCAGACTGGGGCCTCCCAGACCTGCAGTATTAGCACTGCCTGGGATGAAAATGCCCTGCCCCAGAAACTCCGGAGGTGAGGCCCAGTGATCTGTTTTAACAAGCCCTGCAGGTGATCCTGATGCAATGACATTTAGAAACCTCAGCTCTAGAGGCACTGATTATAGTCAGCCACTCATTAGAGGTACTCTTGGCTGAGTCTGTTTCCCTGTTTGTAAAATAGGGAGACAAGAAGCACTTGCTAAGGACTTTTCAGCAGTCAGACTTTGCAGTTGTGTGAGATATGATTTGGAAGTAGAACATCTGATTTCAGAGGCTGTATTAAGAGAACTGTTGAAGCCATAATGCTTCTACTGACAACATTTTCAAGATGTTCAATCTAATATATATCCTACATTGCTCTCTGTCCATTACCCAGAACTGCCATAATGTATGGTCTTGTCCTAAGTTCCCCATTTGGAACCAACAACTATGAACTGAACATCACTTTGAAAGCAAGACTGTAGTGCCAGAAACAGTTTTCACTCCTATTTTTTTTTTTTTTTTGGCTGTTATTCTTTCATGACTATGGTACTAAGTTGATGAGTCCTTTCTCAAAGATGAACCCCAACACCTTTTACCAAAGGTCAGTGACTTTTTTCCCCCTGCAACTATTTTCTAATTTTAGGGGATTCCAAGAAATATTCAGAAGAAGCCTTATTTTCTTGTATTAGTAGAAAAGAAAAGTAGCTCCTATTTAGAGAGCCATCCCTCACCCATTTACAAAATAAAGGCTCCAGGAAATGGTGGGAATTTATTAGATGGCAGACTTCCCTTGGAGCTCAGAGGTCCACTCCTTTCCCAGCCTCCCTAATGTAAGCAGAGTCTTAGTGTTATTTAGCCTGTCTTAGACTGAGCGTACTGCAGGACCTGACAGTTTTCCCTCTGCTCCCAGCTCCCCACTGGTCATCACTGGCTGTATGTCTCACCACTGATTAAACAGTCCACTGAGCCGGATAGTGTTCTGTCTCTATTGAAGCCAGAGACAAAATGGGTGACTCAGGACTCTCCTTCCCTGATTCCTTCCATCCCATCAAGACTCTCCTATAAGGGTGTGTAATTCCTTTCTTTAAAAGGTTAGTGATGTCTCCAAAGGGATTTACACCACAGGAAAAAGCCAAAGTGCTTGCTTAATTACACCTTTGCCAGAGTCCTACAGGAATAGCACCAAAGGATAGAGTACCCTTCCTAGAGGATTCTCAGCCTGTCAGGGCTGCAAACAAATGGGAAAGCACACTTGGGAGAAAACACCACGAGTGTGCTGAAGAGAACATGTGACTTGCAAATCCAGTCAGCCATCTCTGCAGGAACACTGTGAGCCTGAATGAAGAACACAAAGATGGGAAGAAGTGAAGGAAAGCGGTTGGATTTCTGGGATTCTACAGGCAGGACACAGGACAACAGAGCCATTTGGGCTGTGAACATTTGCTACTCTTACTCAAGAAAAGAGAGGAACATCCCTGCAGGGGCAGCTCCTCTAGCCTCAGAGGGCAGGGCCACTTTCTTTGCTCCAGAACCGCTGCCACCCCAGCAGACCCAGGGGACAGAGCATCCATGCAAAGAGCATTATTCTCAAGCCTTAAAATGTAATGGAATTTGTTGTGCTAGGTTTCCAACTTGCTTGGGATCTGTGATCCTTTTGGGGAAAGAAATTTTCTTTCCAATTTCTTTCCTTTAAAAAAATAGTTGAAAAAGTATTTTTATTGCTGAAATTTCCAAATATATTCAAAAGTAAAATAACATAATAAAGACCCATGTATCCATTACCCAGCTTCTGCAGTCATCAATACATGGCCAACTTACAGTTTTTGAAACGATACTTTGTTGAAAGCAACAGCCCTGGTATTGTTTTGTGTGTGTATATATTTATGAATGTGTATCGTGTGCACATGGTATGGTGAGAAGAGGGTATGGTGAGAAGCGCACTAAATTTCAAGATGCTACATACTTCCAAAGGAATCCAGAAATTGGAGAGTGATGAGCATTTGCACATGAATCACAGGACAGCAAAACAAAATTTTTACGATTGAGGGAGTTTGCTCTAGATTGCCAGGTGAGATAAGAGGACACGGCTAGTTATTTTTCAAATATAAATTGAAAACTGGGTGCCAGTGGGTAAACATAACTTCTCCAGTTCTCCCTTATGGAAGGAAGAGAGCTGCGGAAATGAACTCTTTGCTCATTCTCTCTACATGCTGTGACACGACATTTGATCCCATTTACGAGGCTGAACTTGGTCAGTTGAGTTGATGGAGCGCTCTCTGTTTTAAGGCTAACCCCAGAGAAGACTTCCTTAAAGCGGGGCCAGCGAGCATGCAGTACTCCATATGTGCCAGAAGGTGTCGCTCCACCACAGCCAGCGCTCGTAGGAGGATCAGAACTGCTCTCCTTGAATCCATTTCTTCAAATCTACAACCAAAATAATCAGTTACGAGGCTGTGCCCAAGTGCATATTTTCAGCAAGTCATTATCCGGAGGAGAGTTACAGGTTCTTAGATTACTTTTGACTTTCTGAAGTATTTTAAAATTAATTTCTTTTGTAGCCAGGTATTTTAAGATTCTCAGTACATGATTTGCATATGCTAGGAGCATTCCTGAAAGTGAGGGAACAATTCAATTCATGTTTTTCTTTCTTTCAGGATAAAGCCATTGTAGGAAAGCTAGTCTCAATAAATACATGCCAAGATGTTAAGAAAGTAAAGCCATGCTTAGCCTCAAAAGGACTATTTTGGACACTTGGAGCCATACTGTGTGACAAGCCACCTTTGCTGGGTGGTCCGATGTGGTGAGGGCAACAGTGCAGCAGGTGGACAGGAAACGGGCTCAAAAGGAGTATTTCACTACTGTCCAGGCTTGGGGTACATTTTGCCTCAGAGTATTTTCTTCCCTTGGGGGACAAATGGTCACAGTGAACGGAGCCTTCTCATGAGATTGCACTTCAAGCACCTGTTCACATTCTTCACGTGGGTTTAGACGCCATTGTTTCTGCTTGTTTACCCTTGAACGGAGCTCATGTGGGAGTGGGGCAAGAGAACCTTCACGAGCCTGGAGGAAGAAATAAGAGGTGCATCCTTATCTCACACCCCTGGAGAATTCCCAAAGGAGAACGGAAGACATGGAGCGTCAAGACCACACGGGGCCAATCTGACAAAGCTCCGCTTCTCACTCTGCGTGAAGATTTGGGGACTTGATCTATGGCAAATCGTGGTCTTCAAGATGCTCTTGGGGAAAAGATGTAGACCTGAACTTTAGCTTTGTTAAGGGGTTTTCCACAAGGATGGGGTGAGATTTGTACTGTGCAGCGCTGAAGAGACTCTTTCTTCTCTCTTTCTGAAGTGACTGGGCACCAAGACAGGGAATTGGGTTGTGTCCACACAAGGGCTTAAATGTCTTAAAAAATATATAATGTGGAAACAGTTATAATTGACATCTTAAGATTCCCCTAAATTGAATTTTGCTCTAGTCCCTCATGGCTCTTCGGTAAAATCACTTACAGGAGCAGAGCCTTATGTTGGCGATATTACCGTTGCTACTAAAATTGGAACGGCTGACAAGCACTAGGAAAGAGGAGTGAAAGTAACCTGTCAGCTCTATTCCTAAAAACACAGGCCTAGCAAAGCCCCGTCAAACCACAGGAGAGTGAGAAATAATAACCTGCTGTTATACTAAATCCCTTAGCATCAGGTATGCTTTGTTATGCAGGGCAAAGTAATTGAGAAAGTATGGAAATCAGTGGGTGGGGAAATGAGGAGCCAGACCTTGAGCTGTATAAACTTATTATGAGACAAATGGGGCTGGGCTGGACCCTGCTCTAAACTTTCTTTTTAGATACCCTATTTGAAGGCAGGACACTTTGAAGACACTCTGGTGTCATCACTGGCTTGGTTTGGTCGTGGGTCCACTGAGTGATGAGAATTGTGAGAATTTCCAACCTCCCTTGTCATTATTCCCAGTAAGACTGTGGTCAACTGTCCTTCTAACAAATGCTTGTTCTCCCGTGGTCATTCACTTTTACCTCCCCTCATTGTGTACGGTCACAAATAAGCTTTGAGGCACAATCCAGAACTTCCAGTTCTGAGGCAAGCCTGCTGCTTTCAATAGCCAGGTGAAGATTGTCAGGAAGGTGTCCTCTCACTGGTTTAGTGTGGAGATAGTCACTGGGGCTACTGCTGCATTTGTGTTGGTGTGAAATGAACACTGATTCTAATAATCATTCTAATGGCTCAGAAAACACACCGTGTATATCACTACAATCCACCAAGTAAGTACTGTCATCTCTGGTTCACAGAAGAGAACAGGGATTTATGTAAAAGGTCCCTCAATTTCCACAGTTCAGTACCATTGTTTTGTTTAGAGGCTCTTTTAAATATCGAACTATCACTTAGCAATCTGGTTTCTGAAAATGCATAAAGTTTAGGGTTGAAATACTTCCAGGAGGTTGTTGTATACTGGATAACAGACTGAGTTTAAGAAAAGTTTACGGCAAATTGCCAGCTTCGTCCCACTCATACTATCACTAAAATGACAAATATATATATTTTCTGGCCTTGCCCACCCAATCACTTCTTGCAGGCCAAACCCTCCAACCTGAGGATCACTTTAGGCTTCACCCAACACTGTCACACACACACACACACACACCCTCAGGGAACAAGCCCCACCCCCCCAACAGCTGCTGTTACCACTTACCAGTTTGGAATATTGCATAGAAATCATTGCAGATTCTGTGACATTGCAGATTCTGCCTCCATAGTTCTGGGGAGGGGCCTGAGAGTCCAACAAGCTTCCAAGTGGCACCAGGGACACTAGTGACACTAGTTTCTGGACCACACTTTGAGTAGCAAGGGTTGAGACCAGCATTTTCTGATATGGGTTCCCTGATATTTTTAAAATGAAAAAACAACAGCAAATGTACATAAACTGAAAAAGTTCTTCTCAAAACATTGTTCAAAATACACAAATGTGAGGTCGTTTATGTTAATAACATTAATTATCTTTGAAAACTACTGTGGATAAAATGAAGGTTCCTGTAGCCAGGATTCTCACCTGGCCCTGGTCAGCTAGCTCACTACACATGTGTGGGCAATGCATTGCTATTGACTCTATATAAAGAGCTCCACCCAGTGCTCTGTGCGACATGATGGCACAGCTGCAAGACTGCAGGAGAGCAGAGCAGAAGCTAGAGTGGTGGCAGCGCCGAGGACAGAGACTGAGATGGCTGCTAAGAGGCAGAGAGGCCCAGAGGCAGAGATCAGCTTGCTGCATGCAGACTTGCTCTGAGTGAATGGGATTTTAGTGATTGACGCCACCTGGAAATAAGGTTGGGTATAACCCTTTCACTCCAAAGATCGTTCTGCTGTCAATTTCTTTGGTCACACTGAATCCACAGCAAACTTGCCAGGGGCTGAAACCCATTGGCAAGACAACTACCCTTTCCATGGCCCTCTTAGGACTAAGTTTCCAACTTTTTATATAAGAGGGTGACTAATGGTATTCTTTTTGTGCTTTTAATACAATGTTTGCAATTTATTTCCTGATTCAGCTCAGATTTAGGTAGGCTCCTTCTGAAGTCCTTGGCAAGACAGAGCACAGTTTCATCTTCTACTTTACTTGCCAAAAAAATACAATAGCTGCAGAACTTGCTCAAAAGTAAATTGTTCTTGCTTTGTTCACTAAATAAAAACCCAAATAAGACGACTATCTTCATCCTGGGCCCCACTAAGGACAGAGAGCCTATCCCAGGGGTGGGGCGCTTTGGAAACTGGTGTATGGTTTTAGAAAAGAGATCCCTTTCAGGTCATGGCACATCTGATTAATTAGAAAAGAAAGGAAGAGAGGCAGCGAGGCATGTGGGGGCTGTTTCTGCTCAGTATCCTATTTGGAAGTAGGGAGAGTAAGCCTATGTGCTAAGAACCACTATAAAACCTGAAAATTATTTTGGGTCCACTGGAGAACCACTCATCTCCTTTCCCAGGGGAGTGCTTTGACCAGATTTGGGTTTCAGACAGGCCTGGCAATGGTGTGGAGGGCTGGGCAGACGTGGTGGTGTAGGGGAGGCATGAGGAAGGGCTGTGGAACAGGTGAAGAGCTTGCACCAAGTTCATAGCAGTGGATGCAGAGGAATGGATAGATTCAAAAGACATTACAGATGTTGAAAGAGAAATTTATGGGAAGTTGGCTGTGAAGATGGAAAGAGAAGAGTCAAGAGTCCACCAAAATTGCACTTAAGTGAGAATTTCAGAGGGAGAAGAAAAGCATGGGAGAAAGCGGCATCATAGAAGTGGAGGCAGAAAGATTGGGGGGCAGATAGTGAACAGTCTCATATACTTCAGAGGTATAGGTGAAGATGGGGAAGGGAAAGAGGTCATTCACTTCCCCTGGCCTTGGCAATTAGGAATGGAGGACACTAGTTGCAGTTGCGTAGATAGTTGCAGAAACAATGGCACACATGGGAGGTGAGTAGGAAAGAAATGAAGGTAGTCTATAAATTTACAAGTGGAAAGATAAATCACCCAAGAGGGATGCATCATCAATGGAAAGTTTTTGGTTTTTGTTTCAGTATGTGCAGGAAAAGAGCAGTTTATATAAATGAAGCAAAGAATCTAGTGGGGAAGGATAGAGATTAAGGATAAAAGAGAATAAGAAGATAAGCAACGAGTAAGGCCCATTACAGGATGGAAGATAAGAACATTAATAACACAGGCAAAAACTGGTAAGGATACTTTTTTTCCCTCTGCAACAGAAAGGCACAATGTAGATTTAGTAAACACATGGCAGGTCCAGAGGTACAGAGAAAAGAAGTTGAGGGAATTCATGACTTTATGGTCTCCATTTTTGTTGGGAGCTAGAAACGAACTGAGGGCAGTAGAAGTCAGCAGGGTGTCTTTTATAAAATCATTAAGAAGGTTCAGTGGAAGAGCATAGGAGGTAGTGACAGATAGGGAATTTATGACGTGAATGTGGATAAAATGGATTTGAAACACTGACAGTGATAGCAAACTAAAATAGGGTCAAGGACCATTAAGGAAATAAAGTCTATGCACCTCCTCTTCTCTGCAACTGCTTTCAGAGGAATATTGTATTTTCCATTCTGCCAAACCATAAACATACCATACAAACATCTGCTGCTTGTAACAAAGTGGACTTTTTGCCTAGTGAATAGGTTTAGCAAATAAGCTACAGCTAGGTTACAAGAACCTTAGCCAATTGTAATTCTTTCAAAACAGTTCATCTAAGTCCTGTTAGAGTTCCCCTTCTTTTGCCTTTAAAAACCCTAAGCCCTTTCTCCTCTTTGAAGCATATATTCGGGTTTCCTCCTGAATCTATGTTCCCAGATTGCGATCTCTAAGAACCCAAATAAGTACAATGAATTGTTTTATAGCTTTGCCTTTTTTTTGGTCTAAGATGACAAATATTTTTTTCTAAGTTATTAAATACACATACCATAAAATTTACCTTCTTGGTTTAAAATTTTTAAAGGACTACATCAAGGTGGTGAATACTGGACTGTGAACTAGTGTGTGAATTCCTGAATTGGACATCCTTAAAGTAGAAGTGAGGAATTATGAACCTCACTGAAGGAGAGAATGGGGTTTGGGGAAGATGGCAGAGTAGGAGGTCACCGTGATGACCCCTCCTGTGCACATGCCAAGGAAGCAACTGCATCTAACACAGTAAGTCCAAAATTGACCTGAAAACTGGCAAATAGAGCTTATACACCTAATGAAAAAGAGAAGGCCACATTGAAAAGGATAAAGGGACAGATCTGTGACCAAGGCCTTTTCAATCCTAGCCCACAAGTGGGAGGGAGTGAGGAATGGGAAAGGGAGGAGATAAATGCCTGTAAACTGGCACACTTGGCCATGCAGACTCTGTCCCAGGAAGATGAATCCCCATAGTACTGGGCTTTAAAAATCAACAACACTGAATGCCGGGGAGAGCTGAAAAGCAGAGCCTCTTCTCACAGAGGACTTGTGTGCCATGTTGATTGCTTTGAAACTCAACATAGACTCAATAGTTTGAAAGGAGATTTATTAACTTTGGATTGTGTGCTGGGGGTGGAGGGTCTGAGGGAGCTCTCTCTGAGGGAGAAAAGGCTGGTGGATGCCACTCTTCCAGCCCTTACTCAGTCTACATGGCCAGATGCTTGCAGGAGCTAGCTCTGAAACTCTCCGTCTACCCTGCTTTCTCAGCACCAGCATTCCCCAAAGACTGGCCCACCCCTTACACATCCAGCCCAGCGATGGTCACATTGTCTATTGCCAGCAGCCCAGCTGCATGCTAGTGAGACAGGGACCATGGGTTTAGACAGAGTAGGGCGAGGGCCTTCAGAAAAAACAAAGCAAGAAAATCCATTGTGGGATCTGCTTTGGCCTGCTGGGGGGCCCAGCTTATTTTTTTGCTTCCTCCCAGCCCTAATCAAGTGATTTGCAACCTTGGTAATTTAACAAGCAAGCCCAAAACAACATAGTAAAAACAAGAAGGATTCCATCTTGAAAATAAGATTGCATTTTAAAACCCAATTAATTAAAAAGTAAATTTCTTAACATACTTTTTAACAAGCAGATAATAACTCAGCCCACCTTGGGAGCAAAGCAGGCAGTCTTGAGTGATATGCTCCCAGAACGGGAAGCTGCTATCCACAGAGGAAATCAGAGCAGTAAATTTCTTGTAAATAACCAGAAGATAATAAAAAACTTAATGTCTCTTCAAATATAAACATTTTGGGACCACTTAGCAGGTGTGCATTCCTAGCCCTCTGTCTTTCAAATGCCTATAAAACCCCTAGATAGCACAACAGGACTCTCTTGTCCCTCCTGGCCTGAGCCAGGAGCTCTGTCCTCTTGCTTTATCTCTAAATAAAAGCCTCTCACTTGCTCCTCCTACCTTGAGTGTTTGCAAAGCTCATTCTTCGACTCCACTATCAAGAACCCCAGCATCACTAGCCCCACCTATTGTACACTGGCAGCAGAGTAGCCCAGTTGTTAAGCTGCACCAGCAGGTTATATACTAAAGCAGAGCAGCAGTGGCCTTTGCTGGCAGCCAGGCTGAGGGCAGGCCTAACCCACAGCCTATCAACAGCAGCTGTGGCTCAACCACAACAGGAGGATGTGCATGGCCTATACAGGGGACATCCCTGCAGCACCTGGCTTTGGTGAGCTGAGGGTTTTGTACTTCTGGGCACCACAGGATGCCTCTTACATAACCTCTATGTAGTGGCTGTTTTCTTTTAACAAACAGTAGACATAGCTGATCTACTTAACATATAAAAACAAACAGAAAACCAGAAAAAATGAGGACGCAGAGAAATATGTTCCAAACAAAAGAACAAAACACCACAAAAGTTGCTAAATGAAGTGGAGATAAGCAGTCTACCTGATAATTCAAAGAGATGGTCATGAAGATGACAGCAGGACTGAGGTGAAGAACAAATGAACTCAGGGAGGACATCAACAAAAAGATAGAATATATAAAAAAGAACTAGTTGGAGCTGAAGAATATAATAAGTGAAATAAAAAATACAATAGAGGGAAATAACAGCAAATTAGAAGATGCAGAATAGACCAGTGTTCTTGAAGACAAAGTAGTGGAAAGTAACAAAGCTGAACAACAGAGACAAAAAACAATTTAAAAAAATAAGAAGATGCTAAGAGGTCATTATAATAACTTCAAACTAAACAGCACTCACATAATAGGGGTCCCAAAAGAATAGGGGTCCCAGAAGCAGAAAGCCTATTTAGAGAAATAGAAGCTGAAAACTTCTGCAGCCTGGGGAAGGAAATAGATATATAGTTCCTGGAAGTGCATAGATTCCTAACAAAAGAGTTTGTAACCCAAGGAGGTCCACACCAAGACACAAAGATTAAAGATAAAAAGA